GATAGCTGATCTCCTCCAGGAGTATCGATCAGTTTCCAGATTGTTCTTCCCCAGCTAAGATCTCGCTGACTTGGGGGGTCTTGGAAGTTAGACTAGCTGAAAGCATTTCCCTGCTGGTGAAAACCAAGACTGAACTTTACAGGAAGGTTCTCCAGTGGAAGACGAAAGTAGTCAACCATTTCTTTTTAGCCAGGGAGGTTAAGGTTTACATAAATTTAGTAAGTATCTTCCCAAAGTGCGTAAAATAATCCCACTGGATGATGGTGATTTTGCACTGGAAAACGCACTGGTGATTTTTGCACTGGAAAAGGCACTGGTGATTTTGCCTATTTGAACCTAAACCCGAATGAAGGGCAGCCACCAAACCAAGTGGGACGTTTAGCGATAGCTATCACCCGAAGCTGATGGCCCACTTCAGGACCCGCAAGCTTCAGCGCCGTGTCGTTCCCATGGCGTGCGTGTGGGATCCGGCACCGACGCAGAGTGACGGCGGAGTGCTCGTTAACTTGGGCACGGAGATAAAGAGCCTGTTTTCCAACATGAAGGGGAGCATTAGTAACTTTGGCAAACATATCGTAGCGAGTGCTGTTTTTTGTTTTTTATTGCGTGTGTTTCGGTTAAGGTTATTCTATCCGTAGAAAATTTATTAAGCTTGTTTGGGTTTTTAATTTGTTTGAGAAAAAAAATCTCCCCTTCAACTTAATTATAACGCCGGACCACATTTGAGGATGCTTGGTAAAGCTGTAAAACTTTACCGTGGCCCGCGTTTTCAGCACACCGCACCATGCCAGCCCAGAGAACAGGGTTCCTGTTGGGCTGAACCCGTGTGAATTTGTCACACTGCGACAGAATTCTGAGACATTGTCGTTCCTGGGAATTCTCTTTGAATTCCACACAGATGGACAGAATTAAATGTCATTTATGTGCAAGATTCCCCATGCATTTCATGTTATAATAAGATAAAACACATATAAGTGTTTGTTTGTTTAAAGTACAAAAATTCATTAGCATTTTGTGATTATTTTTGAATGCTGTTTTCAGGTTAATTTATAACCCCTCACTGAATGCGAATACATTGCTGCATTAATACCTCATATTAAAATGTATGGAAGTATTTTTCTTGTAAATGTTTATGACCAGAACTGTCCCATGGAACCCTTGGGAAAAAGTCGGTGGCTTGCGGCCAGGATTGGAGTCTCGCACAGTGCTGTGGGATTGGGGAGTCAGCCGGAATGGCTGGTGTGTGCATTTCGGTCGTTTTTATAAGATATCCGAATATAAGTTGTGGAGGTGGGGGGGCAGTTATAGGTGGGGGTAATGGCCCAGCCAGACAGGGGCTAAAATCAAGTGCTGAGGTGTAAAGAACAGCCCAGCTGGGGGAATGTTCCGGCAGGTTCCGACAAGCCTGAAAGAGCGTGGGAAAAAGACGAATGTGTTGCCTTCTATTCACAAATTTCCTTTAATTTTGTCCACTGCCAGTACAGAAACTCCTTCTGCTTAGAAATCGCTTGTAATTTCCCCCCTGAAACGGAGCCGAGGCTTGAACCGCAGTTGCCCGTCCTCCGTGTCAGACGCTAAGACGCTAATCTGTTAGCACGTCGGCACTCAGAACCCGGGTCTTTGATTTGCTCGCTTCTCCACTTCACCTTCGGGGAGAATGACGAGGGAGCATTTGCTCTTTATTTTTTGTATTTGTTTTTAAGGGGGGGGGGGGGCAGAGGGACCGAGATCCACAGCTGCAGTGGAGAAATTACGAGAAACGCTGGTTTCCGCTGGCCCGTGAAGCAGGGCAGGCTGTAATTAACTCGCGAGCCAGTTTACCGTGTTTTCGCTGTGTGCCTCCGTGGCTCCGAGCGTGAGAGACGCCGGCTAGGCCTTCTGTCTTCCCCTGTAGCCGCTTCCATGCCCAGGGTCGACGGGAGAAGAGTTTTCAGCTGGCAATCCCGTCGGGATCAGGGTGGCAGTACCCGGGGTGGTCAACACGGCAGCACACTAGCCCCGTAACTCGTACTTCAGACAATAGCGGCCTGCCTCCATTTTGTTGCCCGCCGTGAAAGGGAGGGACCCACACTTTTTCGGAAGCGCCGTCTTTGCCCCCATTTCCTTACCTGATTCGTCACACCTAATAGGGCAGCAGGGCATGTATTTATGCCGAGGGAACTTCATTAAAGCGCATGAAAAACGGTGTTCCACCTCTTTCACCAGGCGTAATATTTGTAATTGCATACAGGAGCCTGCATTAGACGTAGATAATTTTAAGTGGCTTCCTTAGTGCTGGTTGACCCAGGCCCCGCCCCGCCCCGCCCCGCCCCCGCCCATGAGTGATTTGGCCACTCTGGCATGTGTGTCAGCTTGATGGGCGTGGGGGCATCATTCCGGGTGCCTCCGTTGGTCGTCCCCCCCCCCCCGCACTCCCCATGCTTCTCTGGAGGCCGTTGTTCCACAGCGTGGCATTAATGAACCAGAAATGTCTGCCGCGTGGATGGATAGCGCCCGCCCCTCCAGCCCCCCCCCCAGCTTATTAGGATTCTCGCCCTATCTGTCAGTGCCGGAGCGCGCGGCCGGCCCCCGCGAGCGCGCCTATGCTAATCGGCTGTGGTGTTGCCTGAGAAGTGGCAATCTATCATAAGAGGGGCATCCTGATCGCAGGGCTCTGTCCCAAGATGCTAATCGCTAATTATGGGCGACCGCTTCACCCAGTCGGCCAGCTCGCTGCGCCCGTCCGCAGTGTCTGCGGCTCCGGGTGCCGGCGAGCGCTGGCGTGCTGTGACGCTGCACGGGGCCTCCTGGCTGCAATCTCTTTCACTGCTTTTTTTCGTCCGGGGTGCCTCTCGCATGCTCCCCACTTTCTGCCATCTCGCCATTCCCAGAATCCCTCTTTCCAACTCCTCCATCCCCCTAAGTTCTACCTGCTCTCTCCACCCTCTTACTAGGCCCTCTCCCCCCCCCCCCCTTGTGCATCGAGCCTCATTTGAATTCTGGCAGCACTAATTAGCTGAGCTGCTGTCAGTTGCCGTGATGCACCGGCGACGGCTGTGCGTGCAGGTCATTATGGGTAAATAATGAGGCTTCGCCGCAGCTGCCAGTGGAGGGCCGTGCCGGGCCGGACCGTCCAAGCACGGGGACGCTATCGGACCACCTCCCCGCCCAGGCCCCCGTTTTCAGGTTTCAGCTGCTCCTCCCGCATCTCCTAATCCCAGTTTAATTACACCCACATTATTCGCTCTTCAGAATTATGCAGCCCTTTCATCAGAAAGCTTCTGTTTCATCGGAAGCTTCTGTTTAGCGCTTAAAAGCCATTTATTCTGAAACTGAATTTTCAAGCATCCTTCTTTGCTTGCGTGCGTTTTGCATGTGTGGTCTGCTTTGGTGGAATATGAAAGTCCATAATTCCGAGATTCCATAATTACAATTAAAATTACAGTTTATCTGGGGCTGCTTAGTGCTGCTGACAGTGTATCTGTAACTGGGGTAGTATTCATCATCGGGCCCGTGGCATTCGGCGATTCATAATCACGTCTAAACGATGGAAGCGGTGACGGATCGATGGCGGTCAGTGGTGCCACTGGGTTCCCGGACTGGCGTGCCGTGATTTTTGGGTCACACCTCCAGAACCTGTGTATGAGCGTCCTGATAGTGGCTGTGTTTATTTGGGCTAAATGACATAGTGATGTATTGTGAATTTAGAGCTGTTTTGCTGTATTTGGTTGAGGCTACAGGGTTTTTACTTCGCTTCCCTTTCTAAACGCGCCTTGGCCTGACCGAAAAGGGCTTTTCCCGGGGGTGGTGTTCCAAGGCGGTCCCACGTTAGGACGCTCCTGTCCATGTCCTCCCCCGATGCTCTCGGGGGGCTCGCCGGTGTATGGAGGGGGCCGGCCGTAGCAGATGAGATTTAAAAACGTGTTCCGCCTTGTTTTGCTTTGACACCCGCTGTGCTCGGGCCGGGCCGGCCTCCCAGGCCATCTATCTGTGTCAGCCAGCAACCCCCCCGCCAAGAGCAGCAGCTGACAGGGGGGGTCCACTGCCCAGGCGACAGGGAGGACACGGCATGCTCCTAACGCGACGGCCCACACCCTGCCCCGCCTCCCAGAGGCCAGCTAATTGAACATGATAAAGTGTAAAGTTAATTACCCTTCCTGCCTGCCGCCCCTCTCCCGGGGGGCTGGGAAGGGGGGGGTGGATCCACAGGGGTGCAGGTCCCAGGCCCAGCTGTTGGCCTGTCCAAGGGTGTCTGTGGAACAATGGAGCCGGCGATCCCGGGGGGGTCGTGTGGAGGGTGATTAGGACCATCAGCTTTTCCCTCTTCACTTTAAAGCCCCCACCCCCCAGCTCCGCCCCCTCCTCATGCCGCTGCTCTCTGACCGTTTAACTTCTGAGCAAATTAAGTGATTTACTAGGGATTACATTGACCAGGCTAAACAGACAGAGGCGCACAGACGGTACGGAATTAAACGCTTACAAGCGCCTACACGCCGCCTACACGCAGCCTACACGCCGCGAGGAAGCACTCCATGTTACGCACCTCATGCATATACGTACTTACCTACATATAGATTCAATCTGCCCTCCTATAACCCATCACTCTGACACCACCATATGAACACCTGTTTGATGTTATTCTCTCTTAAATTATCTGTTTTCTCAGCTAAGCAATAATAAATCAATATTTGGTTAGATTTTTTTTTTAAATATCTGCAGAATTATATGTGTGTTTCAGTTATTGTTCTAGCCAGCACGCCATTGAAGAGGCGTTTAAACTGCTGCATAGTAGTTCCACGTGCCCGGATGATGTTTAGATGTTTGCCGCTTCTGTTACACCTTCACCAAATCTATGGTTGCGATGCCCATCGAGACCCAGAGGTGTCCGCTACCGGCAGCTAAAAGCAGGCGAGCAGCTTGAAGAGCCCCCCTACCCGCCCTGGACTGGGAGACCTCTAAGCTGTCGGTGGAGTGGAGTGGCCAGCGCCCAAATCTCAGGTGTTTGTGTGTTTGTCGCCCAGGCGTGGGAGCGGCGAGCTTGGCCAAGCTGACCTTCATGGTGGGAGGACCAGAGGAGGAGTTTACCGCCGTGAAGGAGCTTCTTGGCTGCATGGGGGCTAACGTGCTGTATTGCGGCCCAGTCGGCACTGGCCAGGTAGGTGAGAGCTGGGCTGGTCACTCTGTCTACGTACTTGGCTTTTACACAAAGCCAGTGGGTTTAACCATCCCTTAAACAGACTCCCCCGGAGTTCAAAAGTTCATCACCGATTTCTGTTTTATCTTATGCTGTTTACCAGTTTATCTGACCTCGTCCTGCTCGCCCATGCGGATGTATAAGGTCTCCCATAGGAGCTCTTGGCAGTGTGTGTGTGTGTGTGTGTGTGGGTGTCGGATATTCAGAATGACGTGTTTTCTTTTTGTTTGTTTGCTGTGTCTGTCTGTTCCAGGCAGCCAAAATTTGTAACAACATGCTTTTGGCGATCGGGATGATCGGGACCGCGGAGACCATGAACCTGGGAATCCGGTACGGCAGGCCTCCGCCCGAAAAGCACCTCCTCGGGGTGTCGGATAGCCCAGGTGCTACATGCTAATTTCGTATAGCATCTTGGCTCGGCCCAAACCCGGCATGTGCGAATGGAGCAGGACCGCGGAGGTCAGCCCGCCCCTCTTTCAGAGCTGTCGCGCCGGGATTGAGACGGACGAGGGGGCTGGCCGTCCCAACTGTTCTGTCGATATCATTTGCATCCTGAAATTGATCCTGCAGCCGAATCGCGAGCCGCTCTGGTACGTAGGGGGTGTAACCCGGGGTGACCTGCGTCCCCCTAGGACACCGGTAACCATGCAACCCCGGGGAAACAAAGAAGCAGGTCCCTGCCATGTTGCCGTGGCTGTACTCCGCTTTTCAAAGAGAACACTTTTCAAAATGGCACCCAGAATACAGTCTGAACCTCACGGCATAACATAATTATTCACTGTAACTTTAAACATTTTTTTTTGTTTGCTATTTGAGTTTAGGAGAAAAGTTTTTCGGCATTTACCTGTGAAAAGTTATGCGGTGATGTAAGGACACAGTCGCTTCACGTGATTGAAAGGACATCTTTATTCTGTACTCCGTCACGCAACATGGGAAGAAGACCGGCAACCTGTTCTGGGCAGCGGCTGCCTCTGGCCCACTCTGTCACGGTGTTCGCCGTTTTCCGTCTGTCAGGTTGTTTGTTGCTGGTCCACGCTGTTATATGTGTCCCTAGTGATTTGCCCCAAGGTTTCCTATCAGGAACCTTTGTTATATGCAGCTATTTTCGCAGTGCTTGTGATGCAGTGTGACACAGCAGGTTGTGCCTCTGTACTTGTGACCAGAAGGTCACTGGTTTTAATCCCCTTCCTGGCAGAATAGTCCGTTGTCCATTGAGCCCAAGATATGTGTCAGAAGCACCAGGAAAATGGCCTGACTTGCACTCAGATGCTTTTCTTTGCTCTGTGTGTGTGTGTGTGTGTGTGTGTCCCTCTCAAAGGAGAGCAAAATGAAATGTGTGTAAATTAAATCATTCCAATGTGCCTATGCTTCTGCAAATGGCGAATAAAGCATCTTTTAACAGGGTTTTTTCCTATTTTAGGAAATAACATGGCACTGGGTTATCTCACATTCGAACCCGTGTCCTACTGGTAATGGACTTGGTTCTGCAGGTCGGCGCAGTGCTCTCCCAGGCCGGGCCCCGTGTGATGGAGCTGTGCTCAGTCGGCAGACCTCCCTGATTTATTGGTCCTTGAGCAGCGGGGAGAAAATTGGCAGCGGCCAACATAAATCCCTGCGGTGAGTCGCGGTGAAATATGGTTGCATTAGCAGACGGCCCGATAGATTCATACTTTACCCACGTGCGCGTCCCATCGTGGATTTCCGTGGGAGAGCCAAAAGTGGACTGCTGCAGGTGTTGCCGGTGCCGCGGGGGCCCAGCGACAGTGTTTGGGCCGCGTTTTCGTCTGAGGTTTTTATGTTTGGTCTGTCAAACCCGTAAGATGTGGAGCGGAGCCACAGGATGGCCGGCGTTGGTGTTCAGAACCGGCGTTCGCTCCTGGGTGCGGCGCCTTGAGTTTGTGGACATTCTACTGGTGCCGCTTGATGGAATGCGTGTTGCTTCGAGATAGTTCTACAGGAGTGATATGGATGGAGCCAGACAGGAGGTCTTCTGCTCTGGAGGGGGCACGTGATGACCCGTGTTGGGTGGCGATGAACCGCGGTCGGGCTGCTGAACTCCCCCGACAACCCTGCTTTATGGCCAGAGTCACCGGCTATGAAGCATCACTTCATCACCGCTGGACAATTGGGCAGTCAGGCACAGAGCGATTTGAGCCCCTCCCCCCACCCGTCACTGAACTGCAATTCCCAGAAGCGTTTGCTGTTCCCCAAAGCACGACTCCCCCGTGGCCGTGAGTGATGGCCGTCGTCCGTCTTGGCAATGGCACCTTAGAATTTCCTATCAGACTGTCACCCCCAGTGGGTGAGCATCTTGGCTTCTCCCTTGCTCCGTTCTGTGTCTCTCCTCGCTGACGTGTCGTGTTCCCTGGATGTAGTCATGCCCTTCCACTCCTCCCGCTCCATCCGGTATTACAGCGCTGGTCCTGCGGGGGTTACTGGAATATTCCATAATTCCCCTTGTCTTTCCTGCCGATATAACATCTGTAGAGCCCCTGACCTCAGTAGCCCAGCATTTTTTCCTTGAGAGTTTTATTTGCCTTTGTGACTCCCACAATATCGTTAATTTGACACATCTCCTTAGTGGTCTGTATGTTCCTAAAACAACAGAATCATACGCACTTAATGATTGTTTATTTAATTTTATTTTTTTTTATTCCCTGAGACTTTTTCACTATCTGGGAAATAGGAAGTGATACAGATTTTACTGAAACATTAGGGGGCGCCGTGGCATCTCAGTGATTAACACTGGCTCCTCTGTGACCGGGGTTCGAGTCTCGGTGATGGCTTCGTGTGTGTGGAGTTTGCATGTTCTCCCCCGTGTCGTCGTGGGATTTCCCGGCAAAGTTTTCCCGCACAGTCCAAAAACATGCCGGATGAATCGGAGTTGCACGGGGTGTAAATGTCACATGCGCCCAGCGAGGGGTTGGAGGGTAAAGACGACATATGGGTTGTAGATCGAGACCCCATTTCAGGGTACCAGGGACGAACTGCAAGTGGCGAAAAGCCTCCTGTACCCAGCCTGTGGTGGCACTGATCCCAGAGGGCACGGAGTTAACATTGACCCCTCTAGTGTGATTGCCCCTGCCAAGACATATGGAAAAGGCAGAAAATGACAGACAGTTTTTAAATTGATAGTCAGTAGCTCTGTCTTTGATAGGGCCGTAATTATCATAACGATACTGTGGGAAGAGTGTCCCTCAGCAGGCAGGGTGCTGCACTGATCCCGTCTCCCACAATTTCTCGCAGTTTTTTTTTTTTTTTTACTGTTATTTCAGAAGCCGACGGTGCGATTCCCCCTGGCGAGTTATTACGAGGGATTGACAAAGGCTGTCATGCTTTTGATAGTGCCGGCAATATATCCCGCTAACCACGGCACGAGGGGGGGGCGGGGGGTGCTGCGTGCTCGCAGCCAATTTACAGGGAAACAGCAGTAGCGCTTTATCATGCTTGAGAGGCCGGTGGCTGCCTCCCGCATTAAACCTGGCCTTTCAAATACCTGTCTCCGATTAATTTGTTGATTTCAAACGGAGGCCGGGTCCTCTCCAGTGAAGCGTGCCGCTTCGAGAGTGCTGGCTCTGAATGACAATTATATCCTCTCTTCCCTTCCCAGCCCATTACCGGGGCCCGGGCCGGCGCCCGCGAGAGAGAGAGCTCTCTCCATGCTGCGTACAGTCTAACTGTCAGTTATTTATGCCACACTGAGAAGAAAAAAAATCCAAGATGAAATGCAAAAGACCATTTCTTTTTCTTTTATAATGCACGTGACAGGGTGCGGGGGTGCCACAGTGAAGATGGATTTAAAGTAGGTCTGCCCGTACGCGTCTCCTTGGAGGACTATGGCCCACAATGCCTTGCACTGCCTTCATCTTCGCACGCCTTGTGTGCACGTGTTCCAGTAAAGGACACGAAGCGGGCGATAAAGCGGCTCGTAAGCTCATTTATGTAACTATAAACACCGCGTGCGTGTAAAAGAGAAGCAGCCTTTTCATAAAGTCACTTCTCCCGTTAGAAGTTAATCATTACTTCTTTTTTTTTTTTTTAATTAACTTTTTCCTAATAAGTAGCTGATTGCCCGGCGCACAGTGAACTCAACCTTGCGTTTCCTGTGTTGTGCTGCGTGCTTAGTTCACGGCGACATTCATTTGATCATTATAGGCGCCTAAGGCGTGGCACCGGGCCGTCCGTGTCCAATCTGGTTAGAGCGTGAAATCTCCGGCACACCCGGAACCGCGAGCGGCAGGGTCAGTAAGAAGGGATGATTTATTGTTAAACTGCGGATGGCAGCGCATGTTGGCTGCGCGGCTGCGTGACAAACGGCTCCTCTTTTTCGGACCGGCTTGATTGTATCATAGGCAGTAACCTTTTCAACAGCTGACCCAGAACCGCGGAGGACGGACGGGAGGGGATGTTAAGCATATGTCACCCGGCATCCCTCCATGGGAGGGGGGGTGGATAAGTGTGTGGGGGGGGGGGCAGGCCAGGCCAGGCCAGGCCAGGCCTTTCTCTCCTTTACGCTCGAGGTTTGTGAGCAGGCGTGAAACCCGCAAAAGCCATCGCGACAGCGACTTTTAAGAAATGTAGTTATCCCAAATTTCCAAAACAACCTGTAAAATAAAGGGCTGGTGAGGTGGTGGTTGTGAGGGGTTGGGGGTGGAGGACTGTCCCAGAAGTGCGTCTCAGCTTCTTAATTACTGCACAGACAGCTAATAAAAGCGGGCCGACAATACGAGAATGAGAGCCAGGTGCGGGCCCGGCTGACTGGCTGGCTAGCCGGCCTTAAACACTAATCACGATTTAACAGTCATATTGAGCACAAAATATAGTTTACGGGCCGGGTGGCGAATGCCAGCTTCTGCCCGCCGCCGCTTGATGTGGTTCTTTATGCTGACATTAAAGTGCGAGACAGCCAGCGCCCGCCCACCCGCCACCGTGCTGCCGAGTCCGCGGTGCTGCCGAGTCCGCGGTGCTGCCGAGTCCGCGGTGCTGCCGAGTCCGCGGTGCTGCCGAGTCCGCGGTGCCGCCACCGGCTCGCCCATCCCATCCGCGGCAAAGCCGTCATCGGGGGCCCCCTGCGCTGACCCGCGACCGGTAGTGGCGATCCCGGTCCATTCCACATCCCACTGGGGGGTGCCGGGGGATGTTTATTAGGCCTGTCGCCTCGTTAAGCACTTCCATGGTCCGTACGAGCCTTTGATGAACGGCAACCCAGTTAAATATCAATACCGTATTATCTGGCAGGACAGCCATTAGAGCAAGAATGATAGGAATGGGCAGCCAGAGGTTCCCTTTCAGGTCAGCGCTGACCTCACCCTCTCTCCCCTCTTGCTTTGACCTCTGACCTCAACAGGCTAGGGCTTGACCCCAAGCTGCTGGCCCAGATCCTCAACATGAGCTCTGGACGCTGCTGGTCCAGTGATGCTTACAACCCGGTCCCTGGCGTGATGGAGGGCGTCCCCTCAGCGAACAACTACCAAGGGGGCTACAGCACCACGCTGATGACGAAGGTGGGCCGGCCATTTCTCTACCCACAATGCCTTTCTGCATTGTGTCATAAACACGGGGTCGCCGCTCCAAGACTTCAACCCTATCTTCCTATGAGTTTTTGTGTTGTCGTTGGTTGACCCGTGACCTGGATTCAGGCATGAGCGAAAGCTTATGTTTTGCGTTGTGTGGTCCAGCAAGTTAGGATACTGTGCCTGTAATGGGAAGGTTGTTGGTTCAGATTCCATGGTCAGCACTATAGCTTTACCACTGGGTCTTGAGCAAGACTCTTAACCTGTAGTTGCTCCTACTTTACCAAATGTAGGTCATTTTAGATAAAGCATCTGCTGAATAAAAAGCTGTGTTTCTACAGGACCTGGGCTTGGCCCAAGACACTGCGATGGACACAAAGACCCCCATCCCGCTGGGCTCACTGGCTCATGAGATGTACCGAGTGATGTGCACCCGCGGCTACGCCAGCAAGGACTTCTCCTCCGTCTTCCAGTTCCTGCGCGAAAAGGAGGGCCAATAGTGTGATGTGGCACCATGCTTTGCCTGTCACGTTCTCTTCCGAGACCACGCCTGTCCCGACCCCCCCAGTCCTCCACACAAGGATGAAGATTAGGGGCTGTGCGCCTGGGGGACTTTGACAGACATCAAGACAGTATTAAGAATGGAGGGAAGTAGATATGTATTTTTTTGAGGTGTCACTTATCCATGAGTTCTTGCCCTTGTCAAGATGCGCGTGGCCTAGTTCCTGGTAATGGTGAGATGAGGTTCTTCGGTCTCGGTGTTGGGTATTATCTTGGTTAGTTGACTGTTAGTGATGTGGTGACGACTCTGGTACCCACCACGGACCTGTAGATGGAGGTTCCGTTGGGTTGATGTGGCTGTAGTACGGGCCGCAGCCTCCAGTGCTGTTGGCCCATCTGTCCTCTTGTTTAATCTCTACTTGCCAGTTTTTATTTTATCTTTGTTGTAACTGTTGTAGTGTTTTTCCCTTCCTCCATCATGTTCCTGTCCATGTACACAGACCCCTTATGTATCGGTCTGGGTCTTCTTGCCAGTCTGTTGTGTCTGTTAACCTTGTGATCTTCATAATCAGTCTTTTGTACCTACCTACCTACTCATCTCTTGTTCAGCTGTTTCTTTCGTGTTCCCCTGGTCCCTTGGAATCTCCTTCTCCTGCTTCCATCCCAACACGGTTTCGAGTCCCCAGAATGATGCTGAGGGTGGTTCCCTCAGCCATTACAGCCACAAGTTCAGCAAATGCCCGGCTTTCTGAATGGGGGCAAAGCCATGACCTCTCAGATTGCTTGGGATTAAAACATTTCCTTGTTTACACACAATTCATATAATGTGGATCATGAAGACACTTTTCACGTTTCTTCTTCGTTAAGTGCATCTTTCTGTCTACATCTTTGTGGCTGTTACGCGTCTTGATTATTGCAAATGGATTCCAGTGTCAGTTTCTGAGCCCTAACATTGTCTCTCACGCTCTTTCTCTCTCTGTGAGACTAATAATACTGTGAAGTTAATTATTTTTTCACTGCCCTAATGAAACACCTTAAGAAGGGCTTGGCTTTAACATGCTGCCTGTACCAGTGATTCTGATTGGTGGAATTTGGAAGGTGAACCGGAACATTGTTGCTTATCTTCCTCTCATTGTTTGTCGCAAGTGGTCCCATGGCCATGCTGCTCTTTCTAAGGGATTCTAGAACAGGCTGTTTCCAATAAACACTGATCCTTGGCCAGCCCTGGCATTTTCCATCTCCTGTCTTGTTTTCGCCGTTTCTTGTTTCCTCCCAGGACGGAATGGTTCAACGCTAAGACGTGTTGGATGAGAAACCGATTGAGATTGAAGACTCTGCTCTCGCACTGTTTACTCAAACCCACTTTATACAATCTGTTTCAGCTAGTCTACACCATTTTATTTTCCCCACACTGGCAGAATCAAAGAGATTTAACTTGATACAGTAGCATTTTAAAAGTCCAAAATGGCCGCTTAGCAATTTAACAGTAGACCTAACAAGAGTTTTTCTTTCCAGCCTCATGTCAAAAGAGAGGCGCATCAAAAGCCGCATTTCAATCGAATCTGTCGTAGAGGGCTCCAGTGTTTGGTCACGCATGAACCAATGCACCGTCGCTCCGGCTAAAGTTCCCCTCCTCTGTAAGGCGGCGCTAACGTGTTACAATCCCCATGACGTGCAAACGTTCCCACGTCCCGTGTCCTGTTCCGCCCCCGGGGCAATTTCCACCAGTTCCTTGGGGAGAGGGTGCGTCAGAACAGCGGGGGGCAAAGCGAATTGATACATTTTAATGTCCACCTTGTGGGCTGTTGGCGGGCAGTAAAATTAGCATATGTATGCGCAGCTCTGCGCATGAGAGAACTGCTGTTTTTTTCTTTTATGGGCAGATGTTTGCAAACGTGTCGTTAAACTGCGCGCGATCACCAGTGGCCGTAAACAGTAGCACATCAGGCTACTGTCTCTGTCAGGCTCCCCACGGCTCCATGGATGTAGGTAGCCTTCAGCACACGTCCATGTATTTTTATTTTTTATTACTTCTAGTTTTAAAATTATTTTTTTGAGTTCACCTTCAGCAAGACCGCGTCTCTCGAAGCTTTTGTATGCAGAATCAGCTATTTAATGCGGTATATATAGGCCACCTTAATTACTTCTAGCTGTAAATTCAGCGCAGCGTGGCTGCAGGTGACGACTAGCTAATGATGGATTTGGAGCTGGGCGGGAAATGTACATTGACACCTAAGCCTACAAAAACTAGATCAAGCCAAGAAATCCTTGCGGGGGTACCCCACGGAATCTTCTAGATCACAGCATGTGCTCAGACGTGGCTGCCTTTGTGCTTCCTGGTGTGTGACTTGGGCGTCCCTTTGCGGTCTCGCCCCTTCTTCCGACCCCATCTGTCCTGTTATACAGCACTGTGGGGCTGAGTTCTGCTGCCAATATTGTGGTTGAATTGTTTTCCTTTGTTTCTGTTAATTTCTTTACCAGAAAGCCATATAATCTGGAGTGAAAAACTCGAGCACTAAATGGCTTTTAGTCCCCAAATGATGCACTTATTTCCGTCATTACTGTGAGGAGGGAAAGGACACTGGGCCAGGAGTCTCGGCCTGTAAAGTGTTTTGTTGGGTGAGGAGTGATATCACTACAGACTACAGATCTAGCGGCCAAAGATTAGTTGTATTTATGATTTGTAAAAGTAAAAATACGCCAATACTACAGTGTGAAGTCACCAGACTCCTTGAGTAGTCCTCGACACCATAGAGGTGTGTCTTGGAGAGCAAAACAAAATAAAAAGAAGCTATTAAACCCATGTAGAAAATACAGAAGTCTATGCCGGATAATACTGTACAGACCCCTCCAGACACCAACCGGGCACATTACTACCTTCTGCCCAATCAACAATGGTCTTGTTTTTTTCTTAAAGAGGATTATGGGAAAATAAATTCTTGAAATCACCCGTGATATTGATTGGTATTCCGGAGCTACTAAACTAAAACTAAAGCAAGACAATCTCTGAAGTAGTTATTAGTACTATTGTGTTTTTAAACTTATTCCTGAACCATTCCCTGAAATTTGAACTAGATAGTGGCCCTAGATAGTTGGATTGAAGTAATGCTTCTAATAATAAGTAGTACAAATAGCAGTATTTTAATTCTTAGACCAGTTTCAATTGGCAAATCCTCCCAAGAGAGGATTATATCATTCGCCATTTTCAGCAGTTCAGTATTTCCTTGTTTCTTTGGCTCCTCATTATATTTTTCACAGTCACTGAGACAGCCATTCTTTTCAGGGCACTTTGATCAAATGACATTGTCATACAAGCCTATCTTAACTGGCTCCTGCAGTGAACCATGCATTCTATCCGGTGTTCCAAATTAATTTAATTTATTTCTGGGTGATCCGAAAGGATGTCTTGCATATTTCCCTCCAGCTGTTTTTCCAGGGTATTCCGCAGAATCTGCAGAAACTCAGAGCCAGGTGATCCATTCAGTTCCGAGGCTGGCGGGCCGCGTTTATGGGATGCCGAGGAATACACGTCCAATTCTCCGCCACTCGAATGTCATCGTCCTTGTGCAAGTGGAAGAGGATGTATCGCGGCAGTCTTCGTCGTTGCCTTACACTGTTTTATCTGTCAGTTCAGGAAAGTTCTGTAGTGTATATGAGGGCCCTAGGTGTGATCGTTTCTTCAATCTGCACCCCGTCCCCCATTGTAGATGTTGTATTTTCTCCCACATCGGCGGCTTGAGTGATCTAGCCAAGATAACTGATGGCAATTTGTGGCTTGCTTTTAGTACTCTGAAGGAGAACTGAGTCCTGGTGATTTTCAATCCTTTTTTTTTCCGGCAAATTTGAAGTTTTGAGCCTACAGTAAGCTAATTGCTAATTCATTCTTCAATTGTAATATGTCATTTTCATGATTTCAGCATTTTTTTTCCATTTCAGTTTCATTTTAATCATGAGGTGTCCAGGAAGGCAGGAGCCAGAGATTGAAAAAACAAAATATTATAAATGTTGGTGTTTTGTTCCAGTTTGAATCCTGACATTTACTGGAGACCTCCAGATACAGTTTGGTTACAGTGTGGCAACATTATTCTTTATCTGCATAATATCTGCTTTATGAAAATCCTCTCATATAAAATACTAATGTGGCTTGGTGGATTAGTGGCTACGATTTGGGCCTGTTGTGATTCCTGACCCCAGACAGACATTACTCCTAATGAGCATCACCAGACTGGCAATTATATCTGCATGTTTCAGGGCCGGTCAGCGCAGTGACTCAGTGAGCAGCACTGTAACCTCACACCTCCGCAGTTACGGGCTAGTTTCATGACCTCGACTGTGAGCGTGCCACGTTCGCACGTTCTCCCCGTGATCAAACGTGTATACTCCTGCAGTGCAGAGACACAGCTTCGGCGAGCGTGACTCCGAATGGCTGGCGATGTGCGTGACTATGTACCCTGCAATATGCTAGCATTTCATTCCCAGGATTCACTCTGACCTGGTACCACATAAACAGTATGGAAGATGGATGGATGAATTAATTATCTTCATTGCAAACTTTCAGCTCAAGGAAGATTTCAGCCACCTGCACCTTATGGTTCCAGCGGATGCTGAATCCTCCTCCGTCATGGATCAGAATCTGCACATACAGCTGAGGAAAAAATGAAGAGACCATATTTTGAAACAAATCTGCATTTTTAAATCCTGCTTTAATTGTAGTTCTGCTGGCAGAAGGCTGTGCTAATCATTAGGCTGCTTCCAGGCTCAGCATTTCTAAGACAGCAGTACACAAGAGTAAGGTGAAGCAGGAGATACTGGGAACGACCAGAAACCAGCCAGGTAGAGGGTAGAAGCAACATTATGATGCAAGAGATGGCTGTTAACTTATCCGACAGATTCTCAGGCATTGTATGATGACATCAAGTGACCTTCAAAAGGAATGGGAAGCATTAAGCGCAGGTGTGAAGTGCACTGCTAGGACAGTTAATATCAGGCTCCTAGAAGCAGGACTGAAGTCTCATAAAGCAAGGAAGAAGCCCTTCACTAATGAGAAGCAGGGAAGAGCCAGACTGGAGTTTGATATATATATAAATATGTATGTATTTATCACAGATGCACAACCATAAATTGAGAAATGAGTGAAACGAAAAATTGTGCTGTGGTCTCTTAATTTTTTCCACAGCTGTGTATGTATGTAATTTTAGGGAGAAGACAAATAATGTTTTTATGCAAGTTGGTCAGAGATCTACATGACTGCATGAATAACAGGGTTTTTTTCACTACTGCTGTTGATAATTTATCAGTCACAAGAAGATTTCACACGATTCTCAGCGTGACTGTCGCAGCACATTAGAAGGGTTTTTTTACAAGGGCTGCCGCAAGCTTTCTGCTGCTCTGACGTTAGAGAAAACCACACGCGTAATCATTTCGTGTAAATATCCATTCGACGATGGCGCGGTTCCTGCATGCGGTTCCGTCTCTATCAGCGATACGGACTCGCCGGCCTGTTTTTCACATCATATTACCGCAAAAGAAAACTGGAAAAAATATGATACTTGGGAGGAAACTCGTATTGTTTCTATTTCATATTTGTTTTAATTTCGGCCTCTGTTTATAGGCGTGCTGCTGTACTGGTGGTTTCCTCATTAACAGGACTTGAAAGGTCCCTGTAAAAAAGCTATCGGTGGCTAGCTGACGTCTTTCGTAGCAGAGACAGCGCCTTCCCCGCGGCCTGTCCAGACCGCCATCCCTCTCCACCCCGCCCTTACCCCATGGAAGGTCAAAGTCGCCGTGTTTGCTCATTTCATCTCAGTGACAAAGTGGTGGGGTGTTTTTCATGGCTCAGTTGTGACAATGTGGGCCGGGGTGAGGCTGGGGAGCTCCTGAGATGTGAGCATGGTGCTCCCCGCTGCCCTGACAGTACCGTCTCAAACCTGAAAGGATTGGGTGCACTTAAACTGAGAAGTCAATGGAAACATTTCAGATGTCATGTACTTCCTGTATTTCCTGCAACTGATTCCCATCTTCACTTTTATCTCATTTTAACACCCACATCACCTTTTCTGGACTTTGCACATCCCTCTGGTTCTCTCCTGGATTCTTTTTTCTTCTTTGTTCTGACCCAGTGAGAAATGAAGCCGTCAAAATAAATGATTAAATACGGCGGGCTCGCCCACGGCCGGGCCAAGCCGAACCTGCTGCAGGATCCACGCTCGTGTGGCTATTGCTGTCCGCCAGT